AGCAGATTTAGGCTTTTTCTTCCATTTCAGCTACATTTCAGCATGTTTTTAGCTAATTTCAGCTGTTTTTCCAGCAAGTTCTGCAACAAGCAATCACTGCATTTTCGCAGGAAATGCAATTTTTCTAACTGCATTTGTTAGAGGATTATCTTAATCATAAAAAAATTCAAAAAGGGTAAACGTTACAAAGCTAAACAACGTACAACGCTAATTACGATTGAATCCAACACTTCTATAAATGACTGAATAAATCAGCAAAACCTATGAGGAAGTAGTTTGGTAGCAAAAATCTACAGAAGACACTTCAAACAGGAAATGCAGCATTCACATAATTGGCAAGTAAACATCCAAATGACCCGTTTTCAGCGATTTGACATGTATTTAATGTTATTCTCTTCTTCATTTATCACTGTTAAACTTGTAAACCATGAATATATACCCAGAGAGACAATTATCAGGTCATATAATGATTATAACAAATGGACCCAATTTACTTAAGCGAATAAATTAGGACACGATAAACTTAAAGTCCAACAATCATGGAAAAACGGTTACTCTGAACCCCAGAGTAAATTTAAAAATGCCAATATTTCATTAATTTGTGTACATTTAGTTTGCAAGCGAACATTTTAGTGATCAGTCTAAACTATGGTTTAGAGGATTTATACGGCAGAAAATATGGTAAATATTTAACAATATCTTTGCTCTCCGTTTGCCTTCTTTTCCTTCCTTTCAGCTGGCAGGCATGATTGTCCCCATTGGTCGCTGTGTCTCTGAGGTGAAGGCCCACCCTGCAGCCATGCCCCCAGATGCAGAGTGTGATGAGCACAAGGCCACAAAGGCTTTCCCTGGAAACTCAGGGGAACAGGCGCATACATAAAGAGACAGGCTCATGCAGAATCACCCAGACATCCAGCACATATAAACACCCAGAGAGATAAACACAAAAGCATGTGGATGCACTCTTTCTCTGGTACACTTAAACACACGGAGACTCTGGCAGAGCATCAGAACCAGCAGACCCGCTGGTACTCCCTGGCACGGCAACTCGCAGCTAACATCGTCAGAAATAAACCACACACCAGATCAATATTTTCACTTTTCAGTTCATATTTAATCTTTATTTACCCAAATGCCGGAGTGGGACTGACACCTTTTTCACAAAGGCCAGGAAGACAATCCAGTGAAACTGGCATGAATGGAAACAATATTGCAAGTTCATGCAGGAGTTAAAGGGAGCTGACGATAGTCTGTTCAGTATTCAGCTGGTAAATTCTCAACATCTTAGTGCCACGTAAACATTGTTTTACTAATCTCTGTTGCGTGTCGCTGCTAGGCGGCTGGTTTACACGCAGACGGGCCATTTTTATGAGGCTTTGTGAACAAATCATGAGGCTTTTGAAGCAGCACCTGTATGAAGAAATTGAGTTTTGTAAATCTAGGGTTGGATTTAAAAGCTTTTGTCATGAATAATTAAAACTATTTCTATTATTTTGCCTGACGCAAAAAATAGCAACTCTTAGATAAACATATTCACTTTTATTAATGGGGCTTTATTGTGAGTTGCTCATTGATTTAAAGTATAAACAAGATGGCAAACAAAATTTCCCATCTTTAGCCCCCTTATCTTGAAACGTTTGCCCAAGGCCTTGATATAATCACAAAACCAGTGCACCTCAGTGGGACCAATTTCTGAATTTCTCCAAACAAACCCAATCCAGCACAGAGTCATCTGTTATTGACACAAAGAGCCTAATCCTGCCTACCATTAACTATCTCTTGTAAGAGTGAAGCTCTCATGTCTGAGTTGGATAACTAGCCATCACTCCTGCCTGTTGGCTACACACCTGCACCAGCAGCACTCAGAGGCAGGCCTGGGCCCCAGGAGAACACACGCACACACACACACACAAACTGATGTTTAAATTTAAGTATGTGTATTCATTTCACAAGTACACTCACTAATAAGTCCCTCCTGCACACCCACACGTGCACGCACAGCCACCGACATGCACACCTTGCCTATTTGTCACTCACTGACTGTCTGTTTGCCAGGGCCGTGGCAATTATGGCTTACAAATAAATGCCAGGTGCTAAAGCAACACCCAGCGCGCCGAGGTAAATTAGTAATATTAGGAATGTGCTCTCATCATTTGCAGTCAATTTTCTGTCACTAATGAGATTTAAAAAAACAACGCTGTCAGTCAAATGAGAGAGAGAGGAAAACCATTTCCATTTTTCTTATTTCCTTTTCTTCCTAATCAAGCTGTAAGTTTAATAATCATGAAAATAGCAGGACATGGCAGCGCTGCTTAATTACATTTTAAATATCGTGGAGTTTCCAGACCTTTGGAAATGTCATTTCATGTGACATTGGACTGATATTGCAAACGCATGCGGCGCACATTGTGAAAATATAATTGCCTCGTGGATACGCCGAGGGAATGGCGAAATAAAAGCACAAACAATTATTGTTGAAAGGAATGTAACAGAGTAACGAGAATGAAGCCTGTTTTAGGAGACCACGACCTATCCTCTGAGACGTCTCAGCCTCCTAACCTGGTTACCCTCCTCCACCCCCCATCTCCTCCCTCCAGGGTGGACTGTCAGTGTGGATGATGGTGGTGGTGACCAGAAGAGGGCAGACATACTGTATTTAATCCCAGATCTGATCATCTCCACCTACCTGTCCTTTTTTTATTTTATTTTATTTTTTTATTTATTTTATCGTTTCTCTCTTCAAAATGTCTGAATCTGAGTCTTGAAGCGCCGCTCAGTTCGGCACATCAGCCATCTTTTTGAACTGGACCCTGGAGGTTAGCATCAAAAGTGCATTTAGACCTCTCTGCAAGTTGATTTGTACAGCATCATTTGTACACAAGGTCATTCAAAGTGGTTCATAGAGACACGGACATAAAAAAAAACAAACAGAAAAAATTACATTAAAATGAAAGAAACTTGAAAAGAATTACATAAAAGTTTAAGCATTAACTACCATATTTTTCACCCTATCCGTCACAGTTTTTTTGTATAATTTGCATGCCCTGCGACTTATACACCGAAGCGACTTATTTATGTTTTTTTTCCCATATTTATAAACTAATTTTTGGCTGAAATATGACATTCATTCTGACACTGAAAATATTGAGCACTACCATTTTTAGCCACTAGATGGCACTCGAGTAGTATGGCATGCTGTTGTGTCATGTAATAGGTAAATATGGCTACTAATGACACAATCAGCTTGCCATAGACTGCCACCTTCGTCCAGCTCCGGGATCATGCCTGGAGAAACCGTCAAATCAGCTTCATTTTGCTGCGCCGCTCCAGCAAAATTCAGGTAATTTTACCGTTGAAGTGCATTTATTAAGTAAAAGTTCAACTGAGACACACCTTTACTATAATGTCAAGCAAACAAATAATTAATTTAGGTGCTTACCTTGTTCAATTTTGAAGAAATACGCTGCGTTCCACCTTCCTGATTTCCTTTCTTTGCGCACTCCTGGAGCACCGAGGCAACAAATACTTTTGAAATACAGCTGATTTGGGGCAGGGCAGTCGACTCGCAACCCGAAGGTCCCAGGCTCGATCCCCGGTCATTGCACATCTTGTGGTGTCTCTGCGCAGGACACATCATCCCCAGTTGCTCCCCGGGCTCTTTCCACAGCTGCTCATTGCTCCACCTGGTGGTGGATGGGTTAAATGCAGAGAGCCAATTTTGCCATTGTATGGGAACATACAATGATGACAATATATACACATTATTATTAATATAATTATTATTAAATACCTTTTTTAAGGAAAAGTTAAACTGAGACACACTTGTACTATAAAGTCGTGCAAACAAATAATTGTTTTTAGGTGGTTATATTGTTAAATTTCGAAGAAATGCACAGTGAGTCGTAGCTCTGCGTGTTCCCGCGGCTGCGAATCGGCTTTTGAAATGCAGCTGATTTAACCATCAAAGTGCATTTAGTAAGGAAAAGTTCAACTGAGACAAACCTTTGCTATAATTTTGAGCAAAAAAATACTTGTTTTTAAGTGTTAATCTTGTTCAGTTCTTGTTAAAGTCCTCCCGTGCACGCTCCCGGCAATGGCAACCGCCATTTGGCAGCCAATCGATTTTTGGCACCACATTTCCAGGTTGTCAGCGTTGACGCATAATAGATGTGACTTATACGGCGACGCGACGTATTAGTTTTTCCACTTTATTAGACATATTTGGACTGATGCGACTTATAGGATGGTGCAACGTGTACGGCGGAACATACGGTAATAGAAACAAGTTGTCATCTTCGTGGGAAGCTGCAGAAAACAGAAATGTTTTCAGTTCTGCTTTAAATACACCAAAAGTTTTTGTTCCGCTCACATTTTCAGATTTTAATTTTTGTTCCTGGAATCACTATAAACATGTCCCTGATGACTTGACATGTAGTCAGCATGTTGATTAGGTCATAACTGCACTAAGGCGACAATCCTGAATTTCACTGTTTGCACATCAACAACAGAGTTTGAACATTTGTTGCACAATAGAAACATTGTCCAAGTAATATACACCAACGTGTCACCACAAGTGTTTATACTATTGCACAAAAAGTAACCGTCCTTTTATCCACCCCCGTAGTTAACTGTTGTTTTATCAGATAAACCATAAATCATGCATTTGGTGCCACATATATTTCACTGCATTGGTTACATCTTGTTTTCAGAGATAGTAATGGGGAACTGAAACGAGCTCCACGTACGATTAACAGATTGTGCGCAAATGCAACCACTGCCTGACAGAGGCTTACATGTGCCCCCTCATCCAGGAAAGGACAAGGTGACAGACAGCAGTGGACATTATTACATATTGATTCAAATCCCTCCTTCGTTCTTTGTTTCATCTGATCGAAAGGAAGCACACTGTTTTTCTCTCTTTCATGTACATTTCTGTTTTTTGTTCTAAATATTCCCTACGGTATCTTTTAATACTTTGGTGCTTGAGGCCTTCGCATGCCTCAGGCCGCCACCATCGCCTCTTCTTTGTACCAGTGAGTCAGTGGTGCTTGCACAGGGCTAGCTAACTTGCTGATGAAATGTAAATGGGCAGTAATGAGCACAATCACAGCCACTTGAGGGGAAATCCGCCACAACCAACCACACAGTCCAATTTCTCCGTCATTCGTCACGTCCTGATAGACGTGACCAAGTCCCAGGGTTGGCGTGTGACTGACGGGGCCTGGCGCCTGCACTGGAGGGACCAAACTGGGCCTCTGGAGTGGTCCTTCACGAGTGACCGCGGGGACAGGGATGGTGATGGCGGCTTGTGTCTCGCTGGCCATTCTAAACTGGTCCATTAATTACATAAAACCCTTAGAGAAAATTAACAGGCAAATTTAATAACAGGAAGGAGGCGGAGGGTGTGTGTGTGTGTGTGAGGGATTGCAGTGATGCTATCCACCCCCTGCTACTGCAAAAGAGAAATGCTTCAAGCTTATTGTCACCATGGACACTCATCTAACAAGGCTTTCTGACACTTAAGGTCAATGATTTAGAACCCAACAACAGGTTTAGTGCGGGCAATGAATTACAACACTTTGGGCAATAAATTGTCACATTTAATGTTAAACCATTCCATAGCAATTATGAGACCTTAGTGTTACGGTTCCTTTAATTGGTGATTTGTGACAAACCATGAAAGGTTATTCTCCACATGGAATTTGATGACATTGAAAAGGCTTCATTAAAATGTGACATCTTTTAACTATAATATCACACCTTCCTCTTGCTTATAAGGCGTTTTATTTATTGTTAATACTTGGTGTTTTAAAACCAGTAATAGAATTGTGATTCACCTAATAGTTTAAACAAATGATGGTGGATTTGAGTAGTGAATGTTTGTAGTTTTTGAGATGAGGGTTTTTCTAGACTGGCATTGATCAGGGAATGCAAAAAAACAACAACAAAAACTTAATGTTTTTGGTGTAAGATGTTCAAGCGGGCAGGAGTTATAAAAACAGTGTTAGGTTTGATTTTTTTGCTTGTCTGTGGTGGGACAGAGTGACAGATCTTGGCAAGTGAACGGAGATTTTATCCACCACCAGGCACAATGGTGGAGCCAGAGGGTGGCCATTGGTGGCCTTGACCACCACTGATTAAACCTCAGTTTACCCACCAACCACTATACCGAGGAAACTATAGCTTTAAGCAATATAAAAACTAGAAAGAATAGTTTCATTAAATAATGGGGGTGGCCATTTTACATATATTCTATGGCTGTGGCCATTTTGGATTTTGATGTGGAAACACAATTTTTGACGGTGGCCTGTCTTACACCTAGATGCATCCACACGCCAAAATGGATGTCAACAAGTTGCTTATTTTTCAAGTTATCCAGCTCACAAAATGGATGGACATATATGGGGGCAGCCATCTTGGATTTTGACATGGCAAACCAATTTTGGACAGGGACCTTTTTCTTTTAGAAGTTTGTAACTCACTTAATTTTCAAATAATCCATTTCACATGATTTACAGATCAACGGATGGACAAAGGGCATTTCCAAGTTCCCTCTGCTCCCCATCGTGGGACAACACAATGGACAAATCAAGTCAACACAAAAAAGCCCAACCACAATATTTAAGTAAATTAATACTATTCTTCAAATTAGCATACATACTCTAAAATGTAAAAAAAATATATATATTTTTGAACCAGAGTTCCTTTCATGTCCTATTATGAACATTGTGCTTTGGGGCATCTTTAGGCTGTTTTTTCATTCATTCATTTAACCTTTATTTAAACAGATAAATCACATTGAGCCTCAAAGACTCATTTACAAGGGAGACCTGTTTGGACAGACAAAAAACAGTGGTAAACTGGACACATGTAGGTCACCAGCAACCTGTCACATTCACACCTTTATTCCAATTTATTGAGTTTAGTTTATGGAAAATACCAAATATAATGTTGGACCTTTAAGGTGATTACCAAAGAGTTCTTGGTTGAAACGTTCCCACAACAGATCATCAGTTGAGGATACTGCACCTCTCAGTTCCTGAGTTAGATTTTTACAGGATTTATTTTATTCCTCATTTGATTTTCAGATACTGTTCTTCTACCACAATATGTTATTTAGGTCTGACACTCCTTTCCCCAATTTATTTGGCCCAATACACAATATGAATGTCCTCGGGGCTCAATGGGATTTACCTGTCTAAATAAAGGTTGAATTAATATGCTATCATGGTCAAGTATTGGACTGGAGAGGAAAATTATGGAATGAACCTTCAGAACTTATGAGCTTCTTTCAACCAGGATGGGACTTGTTCATGTTTGAGCTTGTGACATGAATCCTGGCAGAACATTGGTGGGTCAAGCTCTTAATGAACATTGACCCATAGACTATACTTAACACACAGAGAACTACTTGATGTGGTGGAACAGTAATGGAGAGAACTTTGTGAGAAATGACTTGCTTTCAATTCAATTCAAAAATACTTTGTTAATCCCAGAGGGAAATTAAATGTTGTAGCTCATTCTCCTGGTTTCATTAAAGAGTTGTTCTAGATGCTGATGGCTGTGGGCAGGAAGGATCTCTTGTGGCGGTCCGTCGGATCTAAAGAAACTGGCCACAGATTTGTTTACTTAGACTTGGCGGGCCTCTCGGTCCTCCTGGGCAGCAGGACCACCTGAATGTTGGTCAGAACTCCTCCCAGAGCGATGGTCCCTCATCTCAGCAGCTTGTTGAGCTCCTCATCATTGCAAACAGTCAGCTGCAGGTGTCGGGGGGATGATCCTGGTCTTCTTGTTTTCACAAGCCATGTTTCCCACCAGCCCCAGGATTTTGGTGGTCAGGTACTCGAGCTCCGACACCAGGTAGACGGAGATGCATCCACGGTGCCTCCTTTACAACTCATTTGGGATTTGGGGCTGTAGTTGAGGTATTATTTGAACTTTGAAATGTTAATCAGCTGCAAAGAAAAAGGTCATCGTAGGTCATGTGATTAGCCCTGTATTTTAAAATGTAGAACAACCATTTCATATTATCACGTAATTGTTATCCAAAATTGAGATTTCACTGTAACTTACCCACATAGATTAATGCAATGCATTATGGTGTGAGGTAAACCCACTTAGCTATATCACTGTGCGCTGGGAGGTTTGTAAAAGGAAATTTAAGCTATAAGAGCAAGTGGAAATCCCAGGGTACCGTCACTACATTAAAATGCTCAGTATACAGAATTTTTGCATAGTTCTCTCACTCACTCCACTGTTCAAAGTTAGATATGCTAATGCAGAAAGTAGTCAAGTAGAATGGTAATATTCCAATGTGCTTGATGTGATAGAAAACAGAAGCAAAACCATCAGCTTGGCATATATCAAATTACTGTATCTGCATGTGTGTGTGTAGATATGGAAAATAGAAGGAGTGAAGAGTTTGGGGCTCCTGTGGCCCACTTCTTCTCCTTCTCTTCTGTATTCCCTCTTCCTCTGTGGTGCTGTCAGCCTCCCAGGGGTCGGATCAGTTTGCTGCAATAGGTAGGCCGAGGCTATCAAAGTACATGCTTTAACTTTTTAAGACTTTGCAGGTTGGCTTTGTTCTCATTTTCTCTCTGTTGTGTGGGCTCTCCTGGGCCCTTGGTTGAGGAGTATCTCTAGGTGCTGGCAAGTGGCTTTGGGCTATTAAAAAAAGAAAAGAAAAAAGCAGGGCATCTACTGGGAGACGCAGAGTTTTTCAAATTGAGTTTGAGCATAAATGAATGTCTTCAAGTCTAGAAAAAAATACAACACAATCTCTCTTTGTACAATAAATTAGGCACACCATTTTCTGAATGATGCGCTTAATTGAGAGTTGCGTAATCATGCTATCTTTTCACACGTTCGTCAGTTTCTACATCTCTGTAGTTTTTCCAAAGTCATGAACCAGTGCCATCCCCATGACTTCAATCCACATTCATGCACGCATTAAACACATCTGCTCTAACTACCATGATTTCAACCCTTACACCCCTACCAACAAAAAATGTAGGAAAAAAAAAACAGGCTCAAAGCTAGTGGGATGATTTGATTAGCAATGATATCCGAAAACGGCCTCATCGTGCTAACAAGATTATGCTGAGGCCCTGTCTGTTGTCAGTGCTGGAAATTTGCTAGGTGATTAAAACTCTCTCTCCCTGCTCAAACAAGAGCCTTGGCTCGCCAGTGAGACCGTTGCCAGGTAACAAGACATGACTGGTGTTTTGAAGTTATTGCATACGCAAACAGCTGAAGCTACAGGAGACTGCCAAGAGACAGAAGTGGGAAAACTTTGGCCCCAGACAGATTCAAAAGCTTCACTCACTGGACGTACAGCAGCTAATAAAAGTGAATCTCTTAGTTCCACTTTAATTATTTATCATTGATACAAGGGATCCATGTTATTCCAAACTGAGTACAAGTATGTACATTTTGAATACTTGTCAGTACAAGTACTTAAAAATGACATTACACTTCTTCGTCTTCTTTCAGCTGCTCCTTTCTTCAGGAGTGGCAACACCAAGCCATCTTACATGAGGATTTGGCAAACATTTCCTTTATGTCAGATGTCCCTCCTGACGCAACCGTCGAGCTATCGCAGCCCACATTTGTGGAGCAGAGGGCTACCCTCTAGGTGCCATGGGGAGCAGATGGGGTGTTAAGGGCATTGCTTAAGGGCTCACAGTGGGGCAAATGAAAATGGAGGTAGGTGTGGGTGCTTCATCTTTCCAACCCACATTTTGATGCAACGGTCAGGGGATTTAAACCGGCGACGTACCGATCACATGTTCACCTTCTCTTAACCACTGCACCGCAACGTCCTCAATTAGCAGAACCTCTAATAATGAATTGTATGTTCTATAATGTGTTTGTAAGTTGAAAATTATTTTTTGTTTCATTGAAGCATACATCATGAAGAAAAAAAACATCAGTTTTAACGGTCATCGTAACAGTCATTTCCAGCACAACAGAGGCACCATTCCTACCCAATAACTGTGCTAAAACCTGAAAATAAGCAACATAAATAAAACAATGAAACAATGGACAGAGTTTTGTTCACTCACCTCCTTAAAAGACTTCCAGCTCGCAGCAGCATCTCGACTCGAGTCGAAATGGCAAAAAACACATTTTGAAGCATTAGCCTAGCGTTTGCTTAGCACCTTTCTCTTGCTTAGTTTTACTGTCATGAACTCATTCACCGCTCTCATACTAATTCATATTATCCTTTCATGGACCTAAGTGATGATGATAATAAACGTTTTCATCATGTTGCCAGGGACTGAGTAGCGAGATTGTCTGGAATCTCGTGTTCCAATTCGTATATACCAAT